GGTTGGATGGCTTTGGTGGGTTGGATGGCCTTGGTGGGTTGGATGGCCTTGGTGGATTGGATGGCTTTGGTGGGTTGGATGGCCTTGGTGGGTGGGATGGCCTTGGTGGGTTGGGAGTTGCTCTCCTACCGTAGGGGTGCAGGTGGTCTCCAGGCAGCTGTGGTGGGGTGAGGCCCTGCCTGTAGAGGTCCGTGCTGTAGCCATTCTGGTCCAGGGGCAGCAGCTGCTGCTGGGGGAGCCGGGGATATGGGACCATCAGCCCATCCAGGCCGTGAACGCTTGCACCATCTAAAGACAGAAGCGTGGGACGAAGGGGGAGAAGGGGCGCAGAGCAGTGGGGCGAAGGTGTTAGAATCCTATCATGTAATTCCTGACTCCTAAAATCACAGAATTTTGGAGTCATCGAATATCATTGAATTGTACGACCCCAGGACAGCGGCATCCAAGAATCACAGAACCCTACGTGTCACAGACTGTCGTGGAGTCATAGAGCATCATAGAATCCTGGAATCATCACAGAATCTTAAAATCACAGAATTCTGGAGTCATGGGATATCAGAAAATTATAGAATCGTGGAATCCTACAGTCGTAGAATCATAGAATCATGGAATCATGGAATCATAGGATTGTGGAATCCTGGAATCCTAGTGTCATTGAATTCCAGAATCCTGGAATCACAGAACCCTGGAGTCATAGAATATCATAGAATCCGGACATCACAGAATGGCAGAATCCTAGATCTGATGAATCCTGGAATCATTGGGTACCATCATATCTGAGAATCCTGGAACTCCAGAATCCTAGAATAACAAAGCCCTAAAATGCCATAGAATCACAGAACCCTTGAATCCCCGGAACCACAGAATATGGTGGAATCCTGGAATCAGATTTTGGCTGATTTTGAGGCTTTTGGCCTTGATAGCCCCTATGCGGCCCCCCCCCCCCCCCCCCCCCCTACATCAGTGCTCAGTGCTCCTCACCTTCGCTGTCGTCGTTGCTCTGCCTGCTGCTGCGCCCGGTCCCCCTCCCGGACCCCAGGCGAGGATTGCCCATCTGCTCCTGCTCCTGCTGCTGCTGCTGCTGCTGCTGCCTGCGGGCAATCTTCTTCATCTGCAGGAAGAAGGAGACCCCAAACCTGAGGTTCTGAGGCAGGAGGGGATGCGGGTGCATCCCACTTTTCATAGGCAGCGAGGATTGCCGTCATGCATCCCCTCTCACACCCCTCTTCCTCACCCCATGCAAGGTGTGAGCAATGGGGCCGCCAGGAAAGGGCAGCACATTTCTGTTAGGAAATGCCATCTGAGGCGTTTGAGGGCTTCGTTTCTGCCCTCACCCTTTGCATTCTGTGACATGAAAGGGTTCTCCCTCGTGGGGAAAAAAAAAAGGTGGGGAAATCCTCCTCCTCTTCCTCATCACACACGGAGAGGGGGAAACGCAAAAAGAGCCATTAAAAAAAGGCAACAAAAAGGAAAACATTTCAGCTCTGCAAACACTTCTGCGTTTCCTGTGTTCCTCTCCAAGCTTTTGCTTCCAGCACATCCAACGCCACCCCACCACGTGTGGTTTGATCCCACGGAACAGGTTTTTTGTTTTTCTTTCCTTTCTTTTTCTCTCTTGTTTTCTTGCAGCGGAAGGAATGTGGGACTTTCCCCTCACCCACCTTTGCTCTTTGGTTCTGGAACCACACCTGCACCACCCGCACCGTCAGCCCCGTCTCCGCCGCCAGGGTCTCCCTCACCTATCAAGCATAAACGAAGAGGAGAGCTGAGTTCAGAAATGAACGAGGCCCCAACGGGCTCCGTGCCCACTGGGCTGCCACGCTGTACCTTCCTGCAGGGTTTGGAGGAGACCTCAAAGGAAGCCTTGAACGCCCTCCTCTGCTGCGTGGTGAGGATGGTGCGCGGGCGCTTGGAGCGTTTGTGGTCTTTGCTGTCCTCGCTGCCTTTGCCGTGCGAGTGGCTGCCGTCCTCATCCTCGCTTTTCACTGCAGGGGAAGATGGGGAGAGGTGAATTTCAGGGTGGAAGCGCAAAGGAATGCTGAGTTTTGCTCTTCTCGGTGTGCAGTTTTGACCAGAAGAACGGAATGAAGGCAGCGGAGCTCATGGGCTGAGCTGTGGCCAAAGTGGGATGGTCACAGAGCCATGGAGTGGTTGAATGGGTGGGATGGAAGGGTCCTTAAAGGTCATAGAACCATGGAATGGATGGGACCTCAAAGGTCGTGGAACCATGGAATGTTGGGTCGGATGGGACCTCAAAGGTCATGGAACCATGGAATGGTTGGGACCTCAAAGGTCGTGGAACCATGGAATGATTGGGTTGGATGGGACCTCAAAGGTCGTGTAACCATGGAATGGTTGGGTTGGATGGGACTTCAAAGGTCATGGAACCATGGAATGGTTGGGTTGGATGGGACCTCAAAGGTCATGGAACCATGGAATGGTTGGGACCTCAAAGGTCGTGGAACCATGGAATGGTTGGGTTGGATGGGACCTCAAAGGTCGTGGAACCATGGAATGGTTGGATTTAAAGAGACCTTGAAGATCAGAGAATTGTGGAATGATTGGGTTGGGTTGGAAGGGTTCTCAAAGACCACAGAGTCATAGAATGGTTAGGGTTGGAAGGGTCCTTTAAAGTGATTGGATGGGACCTCAAAGATCATGTAATGATGGAATGGTTGGGTTGGGTTGGGTTGGGTTGGAAGGGTCCTTAGAAGTAATTGAACTATGGAATAGGTTGGTTTGGATGGGACTTCAAAAATCATGGAATGATGGAATGGTTGGGTTGGGTTGGGTTGGGTTGGGTTGGGTTGGAAGGGTCCTCAAAGACCGTAGTAGAATCATAGAACATGTTGGCTTGGGAAGGTCCTTAAAGATAATTGAACCATGGAATGGGTTGCATTTGAATGGAACCTTACACATCATGGAACCGCAGCGTGGTTGGGTTAGAAGGGACTCAAAAGCCCCCCCAACTCCCCCCCTGCTGTGGGCAGGATGTCCGAATCCCACCACAACCATTAATCCCACCCCACTGGCCTCATTCTCCACCTCTCCAGCTCCTCACCGGACTCGGTTGGCGTGGGGCTGATGGCGCTCAGCATCTCCTTCTCCTTCTCGTAGTCGCTGCGGCACAGCAGCTGCCCTTCCTTGAGCACAAACTCGTCTCCCCGCTGCAGACGCCGCTCACACTCGCAGCAATAGAAGCAGTGGACGTGGTAGACGTTCTCCAGCACCCGCATGATGAGCTCGGAGGGAGCGATGGCTTTCAGGCAGCTGCTGCACTTGGTCTGGAAGAGCCTGCAAAGCAAAACCCGGGGTCAGGAGCTTGGGGAAGGGGAGAATTAGGGAACAGATTGGGTTGGAGATGTCACACCAAGGCAGACTTCTTGCAAAAAAGCGCCGTCAGTAATTAACGCGTGCCGCACCGATAGCTCAACGGATTCCCCCGTCTGGCCCTTTCAAATCGGGATTTTCCCCCCACCAATAGGATTTGCCAGGGAAACAGCATCGAATTTCATGTTTTCTTTCCCATAGCACAGTAAGGAGCGTTACTGCGACAGGCAGATGGGCAGTAAATCGGCGGCGGGGGATTGGAGGAGTTTCTTTCCCTTTCCAATCGCACCTTGAGGTTCCTCCAGCGATGGGGATTCTGCCCTCCCTGGGAAGCTGTGCCAGGGGTTGGTTGTTCCCAGGGCCAGACATTGATTTCTTGTCTTGAGATGAAGCTGGGTTGGAAAGGTCCTTAAAGGTTATAGAACTGTGGGGTGGGATTGGGTTGGATGGGTCCTTACAGATCACAGAACCATGGGATGGGGTTGGGTTGGAAAGGTCCTTAAAGGTTATAGAACTGTGGGGTGGGGTTGGGTTGGATGGGTCCTTACAGATCACAGAACCATGGGATGGGGTTGGGTTGGATGGGTCCTTACAGATCACAGAACCATGGGGTGGGGTTGGGTTGGATGGGTCCTTACAGATCACAGAACCATGGGATGGGGTTGGGTTGGATGGGTCCTTGCAGATCACAGAACCATGGGGTTAGTGTTATAAGCATGGAATGAGCAGCTCACAGCCTCTGCCCCACATCTCCTCGAGCCTCTGTCTGCTTTGTAAACACCTTTCAGTGCTGGGACACTGCAGTGATTCCCCCCCCCCTCCTCTGCTCTTTTTCAGAGGGAAAACACCCAATTTAAGGGGCTCAGGAAGCCAAGGGAGGAAGGAGAGGGACGCATGGAGCTGCACCCACACATCCCCAGCAATAAAGGTAATTTTGGGGTCCTCTTTTCCTTTCCATTGCTCAGTGCCTGGATTTTCCATGCTCAGGATTTCCTCTGCGGACCCCTCCAGGACCGTCCCCCCTTTCCCAGACACTGTTTGTGCCCCTCACTGTGTCCAGAGAGAGAAACAAACAACCACCAAGTGCCCTGCGTGCGGAGCAGATGGTTCTGATGAAGTAATTTGGGATCTAAACAAATGCGAGCGGCGGTGGCTGCCGGCTGACAGCTCCCATTTAGCCACTTGACAAGGGAAAGTAATAAAATAGGGATTAATTAGGCTGTTGTTTAAACACACAGGATCTTCCCCACCAGCAGGGAACTCATAAACTGGGATTGAGAACAAGACTGGGTTAATCCTCCTGGCAAACTCAGCGGAGCGGGATGAAGGGGCTTACAGGGGTGGGCTCATCCCTTCCAAATACCACCGTGGATTTGTGCTGCGCGGTGGCTTTCGGCTGCGGTGTGTGGGACGAGCAGAACGGGGTGGGATTTCTCTCCCTCCTTTTGTGTGCCTTTGCCAGCGTCTCTCCCTTTTTCTCTTTGTCTTTTGCCTGTAATTCACACTTGAAAAATAAAAAATAATGATGGAGAAGCCGGGAGTGGTGAGCAGCCCTTCAGCTGTAAGCTTCTGCTGGTGGAAGAAGGGCGATACGGGAGGGTGCTGCAGGCACAAAACCTGAGCTGAGGCCAAATCCGTCCCCTTCCCAACGTCCAACATGCTGCTGCTTCAGTGAAATAGTAAAAATAACAACAACAACAACAAAAAACTCCCCACAACCACGGCCCAACAATAAAAGAGGGCCGACGCGTTCGCGTGGAATTTTTTGACAGGTGTGAAATGCTACCAAGCGTTGGGTCGTGAATGCTGCTCGAATTCAAGCCCAGCCGGAGCGGAACGACCTCGTGGTGTGGGGTGTGAGCGCGGTGCTGCTCAGCCTGGGGTTTGGATGGGTGATCTGTGATCCCTTCCAATCCAACCATCCCATGGTTCTGCGGTCTTGAAGGATCTTTCCAACCCCAATCTGTGCTTCTATGATCTTTGAGGACCTTTCCAACCCCACTCTGCGCTTCTATGATCTTTGAGGACCCTTCCAACCCCAATCACTCTGTGCTTCTATGATCTTTGAGGACCTTTCCAACCCCAATCACTCTGTGATTCTATGACCTTTGAGGACCTTTCCAACCCCAATCTGTGCTTCTATGATCTTTGAGGCCCTTCAACCCCAACCCACCCCACAGTTCTATGATCCTGAAGGTCTGTTCCAACCCAACCCCACGGCTCTATAATTCCATGATCTCTCTGGTCCCTTCCAACCCCATTCTGTGATTCTGTGTTCGATTCTGTGATTCCAATCCCTTTTGGGTGCCGGTTTTGAGCATTTGGTCCTGGTGCATCCCAGGAATCCCTTTGAGCTGCCCCATTCTCCTCAAGTGCAGCACCAGAGCCGCTTTCCCCTTATCACCATCAAGCCATCGTGTCCTCCTTCGATGGCTCTATCATCTTTAAGGACCTTTCCAAACCATTCTAAGCTTCTATGACCTTGAGGACCCTCCCAACCCGACCC